AGGGGCACAAATATTTTCTTGTTCTCTACGCATTTTTAAAAAATTAAAAGTCTCCCCCCCCCCCCGGGAAGTGTTCTTACTGTACTAGTGTTTGATTCATGAAGGGTTTTCACGCCAAAGAAAAGGTCTGATGCCAACCAATAGCAGCCAAAGCGCCTGTCAGAAGACACACGACCCAGAGCCTGCTGGCCAGTCTCTGCTCCGTATGCTCCCACAGGAAAACATTTATCCTTAACTCCCTAGGCTCACTTTTAAATTTCCAAAATTTTTCACATATGAGAAATATAAGTGTGACTTTTCCCACTGCTTTTTGTATCATTACCAGCAGTCCTCCCGAGTCCGCATCTCCCATCCTCCCAGCGGTACCGACAGCCACAACAACCTTGCTCCACAGAGGGTAGCAGTGGAGGGGGCAAGACTCGCCGACTGAGGCACAGCGGTCTCCTGCACGCCCGCCACGTGCTGGGCGGTGGGCGCTCACTGGTGCTGGCCTCCCCCGCGGGTCTCCACAGCAGGCAGGCCACGGCACTTGTCCTCCCTAAGTGCTATCTTCTCCGGCCACTAGGGAAGCGTCGAAAGGCATCAGAACAACTCTTCACCTGGCTCTTCCTCCTTCTGCTACCTCTTCAGCACAGGTGTTTCCAAAAACTCTGTACGGGGACCTCCATATTCTAAGAACTAACCTGGCATCTCTGAATCCCTAAAAAGTTTACACAGAAGAGTGCATGTCAAACACACCTGAGACAGGGAGCCAGAGGGGTGAGAGGGAGACGTGTCTGGCCCGCGGCTGCAGCCGCCGCCTTGCTCTGGAGCCCTGGAGCCCTGGCCTTAACCGCATGGCGACACAGGTGCAACCACGTCTCCCGTCAGCCCTGACCTTGATCTGGATTTTCAGTACAACTCCAGCACATTCTGCAATCTCCCCTAGTGAGTCCTCTCAGATGCTGAAAATCAAGCTGGGCCAAAAGGAACACAAGAAGGTGCTCAACATCACTAATCATCAGGGAAATGCAAATCAAAACCACAGTGAGACACCACCTCGGGCCTCGCAGAAGGGCCACCATCAAAAAGTCAAGAAATCACAAGAGTTGATGAGGGCGTGGAGAGAAGGAAGCCCCAGTGCAACGTCAGTGGGAATGTAAACTGATGCAGCCACTGTGGAGAACAGTATGGCGGTTCCCCAAAAAATTAAGAATAGAACTACCATACGACCCAGCAATTCACATCCAAAAAGGAAATGAAGTCAGGATCTCAAAGGAATCTCTGCACTCCGTGTTCACTGCAGCATTACTGACAAAAGCCAAGACACGGAAACAACCAAAGTGTCCACGGACATATGAATGGATAAAGAAGATACAGTGTACATATCCAATGGAACATAATTCAGCCTTAAAAAAGAAGGTACTTCTGCCATTGGTGACAACGTGGATGGACCTGGATGACATCATGCTGAGTGAAGTAAGCCAGACAGAGAAAAGAAATACTGTATGATCTCACTTACATGTGGAATCTAAAATAGTCAAACTCATAGAATCAGAGCGTAGAATGGTGGCTGCCAGGGACGGTGGGGAGGGGGAAACAGGAAGGTGAAGGTCCAAGGGTACCAAGTTTTGATTACACAAGATGCATAAGCTCTGGAGACGTGTATATACCAAATGGCACAGTGCCTACAGCTAGCAGTACTGCACCCTGGACTTCAAGCACGTTATCTGTACACCTCATTTCGTATATCACTTTCTACCATTTACTACTTATTGATTATTTCACTTTTTTGTACGTTTAATCTCCATTCCTACATCATAGTTCATGAAAAGCATCATCATGGTGAATTCATACCATCTCCCCTATAGCTACCACAACGCCTCACACAAAATAAACTTGAATGAGTCAAGACAACAGTATAAGTAACAAACGTAGCCAAGACCGGACAGCTGTCCGTGTAAGTCAGCCACACAGAGAATACATGAAATTCCTGAGAATGGGGCAGGCAGCAAATGGGGAAAATGGCAGAGAGGACAGTAGTAAATGAGGGAAAACCACAGAACGGTTAACACGGTGCGGCATTCTAAACACATAAACGCTGGGAATCCGTGCTGATTTCTGAACAAGCCTCTGAGTTCATTAGCAAGTGTTTCCTTTATTTCCTTACTTTGGCATACTGTCACTGCATCATAAAGAAAGTAACACAGGTTACCAAGGAGAGTGAAATAGCTACACCTAGTTATTGTTTAACTGTATAAGAAAGGAAATTCAAAATTTACACAGTAATAGATATTTTATATGCAGCACACTGTGTATTAAGGTATCTTGGATAATAATTCAGAAAATCTGTCAGTCCTATTGAACGAAACATACTTCAAGCAATATATAGCACCGTCACCAGCACCATCACCAACGTCACCCCGACATCACCACTATCACCACCACCACCACCACCACCATCGTGCCATCACATTATCACCACCATCACTATCACCACCATCATCGTCATCATACCGTCCTGGGGTGATTCTGCAGGCTTGGTCACAGCTATCATCTTTGTAGTGGGCGTCTGGTCATGACAAACCTGGTGCAGGAAATTTATTGATTTTCCTATCAAAAGGACCTAAAAAAAGGAAAATATTCTAGTTACCTTTATTCAAAATTAAAACGATCAAACATCCAAGTACTACAAATATTCATAAGCAACAAATTATTCTATTGATTAAAAACTAAATAATAAGAACATCCGGGACAGTATCAAGTGAATTCCAGGAACCGAAAAAATTGTTATTAACAAACACATATTAATACGTTGAGGCAGTCAATTAACATATGCTTCACCCCAAGAATGTAAATCCTAAAATGCCACAAAACTGTGTTTAACTGAAGACCGGTTTTGTCACCGGAGGTAAATACAGCATTAGCACATCACAGTCACAGCAGTCCCACCCTACCTTCCTGGACTGGTCCATCGTCATGAAGGATGGGATCATCGATTTCCTCAGGGTGTACTTGTCGTGCCACAGCCGGTCTGTCTTCACTGTTGGATCTGATGCTACGAAAAACTGAAAGGAAAGAGGCAGTGAAACATTAAAAAGTGATATTTATGGCGAAATAGTAGCTAACAGCAACATCAAGAAATAAGTAATTCTAGGAAGCAAAATTCTCCAGATGTTGGGAGGCTTTTACCATTTATACAATAAATCTTGTTTTAAGAGGCGTTTTGTTAGATCTCTCTAAATGGAGTCACTTATTCCCCACTTTTTAAAACCAAAATATCGTGAAAATAAGATAAGCTTTTTCTTAAAGACGTGTGGTCGCCCTTGTAAATATAATATCAATCACAGCCTCTGCTGCGTACATCATGGATCTGAGTGTGAGGCCGGCCTGATCCACAGGGACTCTTCCCGCCGCTTCAGGAAAGGCACAAGCCTCTGGGGCTGCGTCTGAATATTCAATTCAAGCCAATTCAGTCTTCCTCTCCTCCTTCCACCAATCAGCAGCGTCCCCTCCTGCCGCTGTGCACCGCCTGCAGAGGCCCCAGGTCCACCCGCAGCACTGCAGGAAGCGACCTTCGCGTGGCGCCCTCCCCCGAGAACCACTGCGCTCAGAAGCTTCCCCTGTTCACTTAATCACCTTCCCTAACCCCGCCCCCCGGCCTGTTCCCTGACATCCAAAAGGGTACGGGTGTTAAGGAGAAAACTAAGCTGCTGTGGTTTCCAGCTCGTTTGCTACTACACTGAGGCCACTCTCCTTTTGCAGTCAGCGTCCTAACAGACTTGTGCTTTTATTTCTATAAACTCGATCTCTAATAGCACAACTGCTGAGTCAAAGTAATTTCTAATTTTTATAAACAATGCCAGATCTCCCTTCCAAACGGCCCTGTCAGCTGACCCTCCCACCACAGGAAGCTCTACATTTCTGCATCCTTGCTCGGTTTGAATTTTGCCAATCAGGCAAAATCACGGTTGCTTGTATTGTTCTTTTACTGACAACAAAGGAAGTTGGGCCTATTTTCATAATGCTGATTACCACATGATTTTCTCCTGTGAATTGTCTTTTTCTATCTTCATCCCATCTTTCTACTGTCCTTTTCTTACCAATACACAGAGGCTCTTTGTTATATAAGGGAGAGTGACCATTTGTGAATCATTAAGAATTACAAATGTTTCCAAATTAATGATCTGCCACTGTTTATGGTCTGCTCCATGTTTTGTCTTTTTCTTTCTGGGTCATATTGGTGACTGTCTTCCTTTATGGCTTCTGGGTCTCCTGTCTTCCTAAGAGCTCCCCATCCTAGATTACGGAAATATTCTCCACAATTTTAGTAAGCACACTGGGCCCTCTGTATCCATGGGTGGGTGCATCCACGGATGCAGAACCCAGGGATGCGGGTAGGGTGGGCACCACACCATTTTACACAAGGGACTTGAGCATCTGCAAACGTTTATCTGCGAGGGTCCTGGAAACAATGCCCCATGGATACCGAGGGACAGCTGTATTACCGCTGCGCTGTTTTCGTTCCTTAGATCTTCCATCCCTGCCTACCCTGTCCATCCCTGTCTACCCCAGTAGACACTGGGGTCTGTTTCCTTCTGGGCTGCATTTTCTCTTTACTGGCCAGGCCAGCACCTCTTATTTAATACAGCACCCTTTCCTCTGAGCTAGCGTCCTCACCAGGAGCGATCATTACAATCACTTACATCGAAAGATTAAAAGGGGAAAATGTGACTCCACCAAGAGACGCTGAAGAGTGTCTTGATAGTATGTTTACACCCATCCACGGCGACTAGTTAGATGGACTGGAGCGCATCTGGTGCTTCGATCCATCTCAGTTACTAACCCTCCCGGTGTCCCGTTGCCCATCCTGGGAGGGTGGAGTGCCTTGAGCTGACGCTGCATCCTTCAGACTCCACGCGAGGTGCCTTCCCTGCTGCTGGCCTGATCTAGGCTCTAGGTTCCTAAGCGTTCATTTCTCCCCCGACCTAGAGTCAGCTGCTTCTCCAAGGAGCCCCAGTCCCTTTTAGGGAGAAATGGCATTTGGACCACAGCCTGAGTACTTGGCAGTACTTTAAGTCAGCAGCTGGATGTCTGAGACGCAGCAACGGCCACGTTACACATGGCAGCTCGGTCCTCCCACTGGACTGTAAGAGCCACTGAAGTCCTAACATACCTAAATGCCTTTTTGTTGATTTTTACATAAATTCCAAATCACCAATTGGTGAATAACACACAACCCTGGCTACAAAGGTGTGTCTGCAGATACAAAATGGATTTAAAGAATTAAAAAATATATTTTTAGCAAATATATAGCAATACAAAATTAATAGTTTCCTAGCAAAAAGTAAATAACCAAAATAAACCTAAAGAAGGGGCTTGAGAAACAGAGGAGGGAGGGAGAGAGAAGACTCTAAAAAGAGCAGCATCTGCAGAAGAAATCAGAAATGTAAGCCGCCATCGCTAAGACATGGGGCCTTAAACTGTAAGAAAAGGCCACAGGACAACGTGCGGCGCCTGTTTATTTAATGAATCTCGTTTAACACAAGCTAATCCTGATCAAAATAATGCCCCAAATGGAAACTACAGACCACCTTCATTTGTGAATACAGATGAAGAAACTTTGAGTGAACATTATCCTTGCGTTACTGGAATAAAGTATTTCGGGGCACAACATCCTTCTAACACACACTAAATGTGTAAAAACGAATTGCAGAGTATTATCATGTAGTCATTAAAACTGAAGTATGGGAATTCCCCGGCAGTCCAGTGGTTAGGACTCAGCACTCTCACTGCGTGGCCTGGTTCAATCCCTAGTTGGGGAACCAAGGTCCCGCGAGCCACGTGTCATGGCTGGAAAAAAATTAATTAATTAATTAATTAAAATGAAGTTTGTTAACTATCAGAAGCCATTCTGAGAATGTGATGAAAACTACAGATTTTCTTCCCAGGAAAAAAATGCTTATATCCACAAAATACACAGTTTTATGTGCTATTCAGGAGTTTCAGAGATCACATTTTAAGAAGTCTTGGTATAGAAGAATAATGTTTAATGGCATGAAATTATTTTCTTTATTTACTTCAAATAAAAATAGAGGTGACAGGACTTCCCTGGTGGTGCAGTGGTTAAGAATCCGCCTGCCAATGCAGGGGACACAGGTTTGAGCCCTGGTCTGGAAGATCCCACATGCCACAGAGCAACTAAGCCCATGTGCCACAACTACCAAGCCTGCACTCTAGAGACCGCAAGCCACAACTACTGAGCCCACGTGCCGCAACTACCGAAGCCCACGTGCCTAGAGCCCATGCTCCGCAACAAGAGAAGCCGCCGCAACGAGAAGCCCATGCACTGCAACGAAGAGTAGCCCCCGCTCGCAGCAACTAGAGAAAGCCTGTGAGCAGCAACGAAGACCCAACGCAGCCAAAAATAAATCAATTTATTTTTAAAGAAAAGAGGTTACAAAATACTATGCGTGGTATGATATACACACACATAAATATATATAAGAATACACTGTAGGGCTTCCCTGGTGGCGCAGTGGTTGAGAGTCCGCCTGCCGATGCAAGGGACATGGGTTCGTGCCCCGGTCCGGGAAGATCCCACATGCCGCAGAGCGGCTGTGCCCGTGAGCCATGGCCACTAAGCCTGCGCGGCTGGAGCCTGTGCTCCAGAACGGGAGAGGCCACAACAATGAGAGGCCCGCGTACTGCAAAAAAAAAAAAAAAAAAAAGAATACACTGTAAAAAGGGATATACAAAAATATTAACAGAGGTTATAGGTTCATGATGAGAGTCAATAAATTTTAATTTTCCCCTCTGTGTTTACATACTCAAAAACGTTTTAATTGCACATTTTTTAATCAGAAAAAAATACTGTTCAAAAGAACTGAGTAATTCAAGCCAATGAGTGAACATATGGTACAAGTAAGAATTTTTTTAGAAACACTGTTTTCCCAAGGCGATCAACTAAAAAGATTTTTTTTTCCTGTTCACAGAAATCTACTCCCAAGGGTAACTATTTAAGGAAACAAAATTTCTAATGATGTTAAGGTCTTATATTTGATCCTTGTATTTGATCCTAGATGGTATCGAGCCATCTAGGATCAAATACAGCCAGTTTCCTTTAAGTAGGCATCTGAACAAATGCCAACATTTTTATGATCATGAGGATGAGATTGCTACATTTATTTCCAACTCATATTCTTATCTTTAGATATCAATTTAAATTATGAAAGTATTTATTGATATTCCTTTTTTTAGTTTTTAAATTTATATTCCCTTTCTAATTTTAAACACATAACTAATGACTGCTTTCAGTACTATTATAATGAGGCTATCACCACTTTAACATAAACTCAAATCAGCCCTGATAGAAATTAAGATGTCACAAGCTCACCATGAACAATCTAAGAGGTTACCCAGTCACCACAGTGTGTCCGCTCTGCGGCTTGCCATTCAACAGATTAGATTAACTGCATATAAATTGTTATTTATCTGTTATTCACTTAAACAGAAGAGCCAGTTTCTACAGACAACACACTAATTTATCCTGATAGTTGGAGTACAGCTGGATTTTTATCAGTATGAACAATAAGAAAATTTAATTTAAAAGATAAAGAACTCGGGCATTCAGTCATCTTTAGAAGTTATGAAAGCATCACTTCATCTGAGGGAAAGTAGCACTCAATCACCCCACCAGCAAACATCTAGAAGCAAACACCGAGAGACCTGGGCATAATTAATCTTGCAAAAAATAGAGTTACAGAGGAAAAGAATCAAGGTCAGAATATAACTGCAATATGCTTTTATTTTACAGATGCACTTTCTACTCAAGGTTCTTTAATTTTCACCACTATGTCAAACACAGAAAGAAGTGAGGGAAAAATAAAGCATAATTGAACCATGATTTCTCATGAAGTGCTGGACAAATGCCAAGGTCTTCCTGCTAAAAACAGAAATAAAGAGGGTAATTTCCTCAGCAAGCGACTTATCTTCTCAGACCAGATCCATTCATTCAGACCACAAAGGACCCCAACTTCAACGGGTCAACAGGGAGGCCGCCACCAAGAGACTCGCCTCTGGCCACGCGGAGAGAAGCCAGAGGCTCTGGACCAGGGGAAGGCCAGAGGGAGCTGATCAGGCAGACTGGCAGACGACAGCTTTCAGGGGTGGGCGTGAAAGTGCCGAAGTGTAAGACAGGTACATGGTCTACCTTTAAATCCAGTAATTCCTAGCAAAAGTGTAAGAGGAACAAAATAAGGAGAGTGCTGAAGGCGTCCACAGATAGTCCAAAAAGCAGCCCCTGCATTCTCTCTAGTTAGTGCACTGACCTTCCGATCCAAGGATGCAGATTTGGAAGCATCAGCAGAGCATTTCAGCTAACATTTGATCTTGCTGTCTGAAATTTTTCTAATTTTGAAAGCAAGAGTGCTGACTTTTAACTTTTCCCTTATTTTCCTGTTCCTAGTTGAAGGCCCCAATCCTTTATAGCTCTGAGAGGTTTATCCAAAAGGCAAAAATATAAAACAAATTAGCACGGAGCTATCATGTTCTTACCTTGAACACACTGGCATAATTTGTTTACCTCTCTCAGTTTACGGGGGAGAACCCATGTGAGCCACTAAATGTCTCATGATAGAGTTTCCCTAGATAGTCATTGTAGCAAAATGAAAAACTTTGGCTTTCTTTTACAGTACTGCTCTGTAAGAACCAAAAATAGTTTGAAACTTCTCCCCAAACACTGCAAGTACTTTTTACACTAATCATTCAGTGCATCGGTAAAATCTTTTTTTTAACTGAGGTATAGTTGATGTACATTATTATATAAGTTGAGGTGTACAACATATTGATTCGCAATGATTAAAAGTCCATTTACACTTATTATAAAATACCGGCTATAGTCCCTGTGCTGTACAGTATATCCTTGTAGCTTGTTTTATACATGACCGTTTGTACCTCTTAATCGTCCACTCCTATCTTGCCCCTCCCCCTTCCCTCTCCCCACTGGTAACCACTAGTTTGCTCTCTACATCTGAGTCTGCTGCTCTTTTGTTACATTCACTAGTTTGTTGTATTTTTTAAGTTCCACATATTAGTGATAGCATACAGTACTGGTCTTTCTCTGACTTATCTCACTTGGCATAATGCCCTCCAAGTCCATCCACGTTGTTGCAAATGGCAAAATTCCATTCTTTTTATGGCGGAGTCGTGTTCCATTGTGTGTATATGTACCTCATCTTCTTTATTAATTCATCTGTTGATGGACACTTAGGTTGCTTCCATATCTTGGCAATTGGAAATAATGCTGCTATGAACATCGGGGTGCATGTATCTTTTCAATCCAGTGTTTACGTTTTTTCAGGTATATACCCAGGAGCGGAATTGCCGGCTCCTATGGTAGTTCTACTGTTAATTATTTTGAGAGCCCTCCACAGTGGCTGCACCAATTCACACTCCCAACAACAGTGCACGGGGCTCCCTTTCCTCCACGTCCTCGCCAACGTTTGTTATTTCTTGTCTTTTTGATGATGGCCATTTCTGACAGGTGTGAGGTGATATTTCACTGTGGTTTTGATTTGCATTTCTCTAATAATTAGTGATGTTGAGCATCCTTCCATGTGTCTGTTGGCCATCTGTATGTCTTCTTTGGAAAAATATCTATATCCAGAGGACATCTGTAAATCTTTACAGGGCTCTAGTCTTGCCTGCCTTTGCACTTCATCCTAATACAAGATAAACAAAACAAAAGCTGGATACTAATCCTTGCACCACTGTACTAAAGGATCATATCTTTTTAATAATTAAAAGAAAAGTCCAGCCTTCCCTGGTGGTGCAGTGGTTAAGAATCCACCTGCCAACGCAGGGGACACGGGTGCAAGCCCTGGTCCGGGAAGATCCCACGTGCCGCGGAGCAACTAAGCCCGTGAGCCACAACTACTGAGCCTACGCTCTAGAGCCCACAAGCCACAACTACTGAGCCCATGTGACACAACTACTGAAGCCCGCGTGCCCTAGAGCTCATGCTCCGCAACAAGAGAAGCCACCGCAATGAGAAGCCCGTGCATTGCAACGAAGAGTAGCCCCCGTTCACCGCAACTAGAGAAAGCCCGCGCACAGCAACGAAGACCCAACGCAGCCAAAACTTAAATTAAGTAATTTAAAATAAATAAATAAACAAAATAAAAGTAAAATCCCAACTGGTGGACCCAGAGGCAGTTTTAATGACGCCACAGAAATAGCAAAGCTCAGAGGCCACCTGGAAGTTTTTCTTCCAGATAAAAGGACTGAAAACTCATCCTTGGGCTGCAGGTCAGTCAAACCCAGAGGCAGCCAAGGTGGGACACTGAGAGTTGCTCTGCAGCAGGAGGGGGAGAGAAAAGCCTCCCGGGAACCAGGTAAACATGGGCGTTTCAAAGAGCTTCCTGGAGGGACCACAGGATGAAGCCACGTTACACAGGAAGTGAGCTCTGCAGAGCCGCCAACAAAGACCGACAGGAGCTGCACGCAGGGAAGTTAGTGGGGAGGAGTGGACGGCGGGCCAGAGAAAGCAGGTCCAGGAGCCCCGCCAGGCAGACAGGGCCCCGGCCCCACTCTGGTCACATCCGCCAGTGAAGCCATCTGGCCCTGGGCTTTTCTTTACTGGAAAGGTTTTTAGAGCACTGATTTATTCTCTTTACTTGTTACAGGTCTATTTAGATTTTCTATTTCCCATGAGTCAGTCTGATAGTTTGTGTTTCTAGGAACTCTCTCAGGTTTCATCTGGCAGAATGAACAAGCTAATTCTAAATCTATATGTAAGTAGAAATGTGCAGAAACAAGGACGATTGTGAAAAGAGCTGCCCCTACCAGATATCAAACTTTAAAGCTACGCTTAAGTATCACTGACAAAGAAATAGCAAACCAAAAAAAAAAAAAAAAAAAAAAAAAAAAAAAAAAAAAAATCAGAAAAAAATAGAGTCCAGAAACAGACTCGGGTGTAAATGGGAATTCAGTATACGATAAAACATGGCAAAACCAACATTTGGAAAGCATCCGTCAAGCCTATGATTCTCGGTACTATTCTTACACCTCTAAGTCTGAAATAATGTGAAAACAAATGGTTGAAGAAAAATAATTAAAGGAAAAAAGTGCAATTACAGATACAAGATATCCAAATGTATAAACCCATCCCATGATTCGACTCTTAAAAAGTCAGACAAATCCACAGGACAAATGGGGAAACAATACAAACAGCAATTAGTAGGACAAATAAAAATAACCGATACACATGAAAAGCTGGTCAATCTCACTAGTTACCAGTGAAACACAAATACGTAAATACCACAGGAGACGCCACATCTCATGCATTAGATTAAAAACACTTTTACTGGGCTTCCCTGGTGGCGCGGTGCTTTGGAGTCCGCCTGCCGATGCAGGAGACGCGGGTTCATGCCCCGTTTCGGGAGGATCCCACATGCCGCGGAGCGGCTGGGCCCGTGAGCCATGGCCGCTGAGCCTGCGCGTCCGGAGCCTGTGCTCCGCAAATGGGAGAGGCCACAACAGTGAGAGGCCCGCATAACGCAAGGAAAAAAAAAAAAAAAAAAAAACCACTTTTACTCAGGGTGGGTGACATGAAGTGCACACAGGAAGGAGGAATAAGCCGACGGGGGCGCATGGAGTGTGGGGACTGGGAAAGCCACCCAGCGCTCGAGATGGAGTCAAACCTACAGCTGTGCCCTCCCCACAGCCGAGCCAGCCCATCTCCCAGGACTGACTTCAGAGAAGCTCATAAACACTCCCAGGGAGGCACATAAAGTGGTGTTCACTTTAATAATGTGGGTAAGATTTAAAACTAAAAGAACATAATCTGCTCGGATAGGAGAGCTGTTAGGCAAAAGGGCTGTGTCCAGGCGGCAACAGTTACAAGCCCAACCCTGCACAGGAGGCCTACAGGGCACCCTGGGAGCCTCCACAGCACACATGCACATGTGGATGCTGTGTGTGTCCCCAAAGCACAAAACAGTACCACCTACGGTCAGATCTGCTTCCATGATTGCTTACGTGCAATTTCACCCGCGAAAAACCAGGTGAAAACAGGAGCCCAGCCACGTGGGCCACACGAACATCCCCACAGGCGCACCTGAAACTGCCCTGCCGCCTTCACCCACGCGTTCCAGCAGCCAGGACCGTCCGTCCTGCCTCCACCCAGGCCCACAAGCTAATACTAGGGCTCTGTCAAGGTCAATGGCATATTTACTCTAGAATTTGCCCATTCCTTAACCGTTTAGTATGTGTTAAAAACTGTGCTACAGCTTCCATTTAACTCCTATCCTTTTTTAATGTAACATAATGACAAGGTTTTTGAGTGTGGTGCCCCTCACTCTACTTTTTGTCAGAAGTCTGGTTTTTACCGTATGATTTTGCATAGCAGTGATTTTTAGGGACAAATATGTTACATTCTGGCGGAACTAACTGTATTTCAATAGGTACATATACGTATACACATATACAGATAACTTGCCTCATTAAAATTGTCAGCACCAGTTAACCAGAATGAGTTCAGTTCATACAGTAATGGTGCAAAGCATGAGAACATGTAATACGCCCCCCCGCCCCCGCCAGCAAAACCGGATTAAGACTGGGGACACCTAGTCCAAGCTTTGCCGCCAGCTTGCTGATCAACAGGGACAAGCGATCTGACCTTGCTGAGTTTCCCACCGCTCAAACGGGGATAACAATTTCTCACTAGCCAAATACAGCTCTGATCAATGAGGTAATTGGCAAAATAGGCCAGGCATGCAAATGAAGTGTGGTGGCACCACTGTGAGGAGGAAATAGTTTTTGGAAAAAAATCAAGAAAGGGTAACTGCTCCCATGCTCCTCAAAGCCGCGCCTGAGGAGGGGCCGCGTCCCTTACTTCGTGGTACGTGTCCTCAAGCTCCCCATCGTAGATCCACCGGTAAAGGAAGCTCAGGACGGGGTGCGACACCAGGCTGAGGATGTGCTGCACCAGGGACCTCATGGAGGGGTCCCCCGTCTTGGTGTAGGCGTGGACGGCTGAAGCCAGCTCACCTCCCTTCCTTCCTGGGGACACAGCAAAACATCCACATTGACACTCACAGCAGAAACCAACAACTGAACACTAATGCAAATGGCCAAGTCAAGGAGATGAAGTGTGGCTGCTCTCTTAGCACCGTTTGGACGTAGAGGCAGCAGTCAACACGTGCAGTCAACACGTGACGGACCAGGAGCCCGAGGCCTAGGTCCTACCTGGGCTTCACGTGACTCTCCACGACCTCTATGGAAAACGTGACTCGAGATACGATCGAGAACACAATTCTTCACCTTTTCCTGACTGAGACCCACATCAAGACTCACACTTTATACCACAATCCAATACACAAATAAGCATATATAGAAAACAAGAGTTTTACAAACAATACTTACACTTTAAGATTTTCTATTTTTTCCTTTTTCTCTTTTGGTATAATACACTGGTCTCAACTCATTAGACTGACGTCATAACCCATTAACTAACTGGTGGCCCTACAGTTTGAAAACATGGCCCTGTGTTAAAAGTGCCCGGTGTCCCAGGAGCACAGCTCAGCATAAAATATTGGGAGTGGCAAAAACCAGATCCAACAGTATAAGCACACCAAGAGTTTCCCATGTGAATAATTCTGGAGTTCGTTAGATTGCAAAAAGTTTTTTTTTTTTTTAACATCTTTATTGGAGCATAATTGCTTTACAATGGTGTGTTAGTTGCTGCTGTATAACAAAGTGAATCAGCTATACACATACATACATCCCCATAGCCCCTCCCTCTTGCGTCTCCCTCCCTCCCACCCTCCCTAGCCCACCCTTCTATGTGGTCGCAAAGCACTGAGCTGATCTCCCTGTGCTGTGCGGCTGCTTCCCACTAGCGATCTACCTTACGTTTGGGAGTGTATATATGTCCATGCCACTCCCTCACTGCGTCCCAGCTCACCCTTCCCACTCCCCATGCCCTCAAGTCCATTCACTCTACGTCTGCGTCTCCGGGTTGCGGACAGATTTTAAGGAAAGGACTGAGGTACTCTGACTTTAGTGAGATCCCTCTTGGCACGTGTGCACAAACAGAGACAGAGCCAGCTGGCAGGTTATGAGGACAGGGCATGAAGAAGGCCCGGAGCGGGGATCCCAGCGCCCCCGGGGGGCAAAGCCTGGGGGCCTAGGGAGGAGCCAGAGGCGCCAGGACCATGAAAGG